GTACAATCACAGCTCACCGCAGCCTTGACTTCCTGGGTTGAGGCTATCCTGCCTCAGTCTCCTGAGTAGCTGGGACTATAGGCATGTACCACCATACCTGGCTAATTAAAAATTTTTTTTTGTAGAGATGAGGTCTCACTATGTTGCCCAGGATGGTCTGGAATTCCTGGGCTCAGGTGATCCTCTCACCTCTGCCTCCCAAAGTGTTGGGATTATAGGCATGAGCCACTATACCTGACCCTGGGATTTCTTAAATATGTTAAGGCCCATTCATATAACAGAGTAATATGCACTAATGTTAATGGATGGGGTAAGTTTATATATGCAAACATGGAAAAACAGGCATATGTGAGCCTGGCACAATGACATGCCTACTACAGTCCCAGCTACTTTGGAGGCTAACACAGGAGGATCATTTGAGCCCAGGAGTTTGAGACCAGCCTTGGCAACATAGCTAAACCTTATTTCCAAAAAAAATAAAATAATGACATGGAAAACAGTTATAGAAGAGTTTATATGTATATGTATAGTTGTTTATAACTGAATAAATTACAATGATATACACTAAGTTATTAGTAGTGACTATTTTGGGGATTATAGGAGGCCTTAATTTTCAATTCATATGCTGAATTTTTAACATAACATGGATATATTTTAACAACAAACGTTTATTTTGAAATGGGAAAAACAACAAAAATGTTTTGATTTGGAAAATAAATTTTATAATCCTAGAAATGTGTAAGATACTTAGCTGCTACTCCACAATATAAGGCTCACTGAACCGCAGTGCATGTTTCCCTGTTCTTCAGAGGGGGTCAAAGCTGGCGGCTGAGCGATCTCGAGAAGGATTTTCCTGGAGTCATTCTAACTTGTTCTCATCCACACACCTTTATCTGTATTCTTAGCTCAGTCTGTCTTTTCTAAAAGACAAAAGATGGTTGGGCATGGTGGTTCACACCTGTAATCTCAGCACTTTGGAAGGCTGAAGCAGGAGGATAGACTGAGCTCAGGAGTATAAGACCAGCCTGGGCTTTTAACTCGCATTGTGTCCCAGAATTATCCATGGAGCTTTGAAAAACAACATATTCCTATGTCTGAAGCAAAACCTACCAGAGCAGAAACTCCTGGTCTGGAAACCAGATGTGCGTATTTTGAAAAAGCTCTTCAGGTGATTTAGTTGTGAAATCAGGATTGAGAATCATTAGCAAAGGTCAATAACTTAGTTTTTTTTCCAAACCAGAAGGCAGACTCCTACCTAGACTTTTGTTCTTTTGGGGCCATCTAGAGAATTTAAAAAAAATAACAAAAGTCAATTTCAATTAAATAACTAAATAATTAATTAACTAACACGAACAAAATGAATTCATTCATCAAACATTTACTGAGTACTCTCTCTGTTCCAGGCTCAGTATTGGGCATGAGGATTCAGCTCTACCCTGACAATGTTCTCAGCCTACAAGTATATGAATTATTTAAATGTAGCTACTCTTAACTTACATTAGATACCAAGAGAGAGGTGACAAAGACCAATTACAAAGACTTACTTGCACAATACCATGGCATACAAGGACTCTCCCACATGAATCAACCAGGCAAGCCAATACCTGAAACAAACAAAAAAAGTCTGTCTAGTTTAAGGTGATAGTTTTCTGCTGATGAAATCTAACCCAGAAACCTCAGAATGAAAGGTGTCTTAACGTGAACTAACAGTACTCTTTGTCAACTACAGGCACTGCAGGTCTTCCAGGTTTCCAGTGAGACCAAAGCTGCAGTGTCCACATCCTGTTTGTGCAGGTCTCCTTACCCATTGCGCAGGAGGGTGTGATGGTGGTCCGCCAAGTACTGAGTGAAGGTGCCCAGGGGCCCAAGACTCTGATAAGGGACACTCTGAGGCCAGAAGACAACCCACTGCAAGAGAACCAGAAGCACATGCCTATTAGGTCACTTAAAATGTTTACCTTTGAGAGATATCTATGAAATAATATTAATTCTATAAAAACAACTACAGATCAAAGAAACTCTGAACAAAGTCATCTGGGCCTCTATTTCTGACTTTTTTCTTTCTTTTTTTTTGAGTTTGAGTCTCATTCTGTTGTCCAGGTTGAAGTGCAGCAGCAGGCTCATGGCCACCGCGGCCTCAACCTGGGGGGTTCACTGTGATTAGCCAGTTTAGGATTTTATAAGAATAATTGCTAACAATTCCAAAATTTATTGTCCCATTCAGATCTCTGTCAAGAGCAATGCTACCTCTCCCATAATGTTACTTCGCATTAAAATTTAAAAACATAAAACATCACATCTTCATAAACCAAGGGGAGTGGAAGGGAGAGCATCTGCCAGCTCCACAGCAGGCCAATTTGAAGTCCCCAAAGCTTTCCTCCAACCATATTCCAAGTAGCCAGAGACACAGAATCGCAGAATAGAAGTGTACCTTTGAAAATGTTCAGTTCAACACTTCCATTTTACATATGAGGCAACAGGACAAAGGTGGTCAGATCTAACACCAACAAACAACACCATGGGCATGACAAACCCCAGTCTCCAGGCTCTCTTGGAAACTGTCCCAATAGCTTTGCCTTCCTTCAAAAAGACACCAATTTAGCCCCCAATCCACTTTTCCATGCGTTTTCCCTTTATCCTATAAACACATTCCTTCTCGGCCAGACAAAAGTCGTTTTTTCTCAGCAGATCTGTCTTGCTCTCAAACCTATGCCACAACAGTTATATGCTCCACCCTTTTCCCCAGTTCAATCCTACCTATACTTTAGGTTTATCCCCATTCTTCCAAGCAACGTAAACTGCCTCGATCATTCTGCTTCGGAAGCTCTAGCCTGGCTTGGCAGGCCTATTGCCGTCGGTCAACTTGACTCCATAAAGGACTTAGACTCGGCTGTTAGTAACCGTGCAGAGAGGCAAGGATGCAAGAACAGGAACACTGCCGGAGACCAGCTTCAGCCGGGTTTAGGGTACCCCAAAGGTGGAGACCGCGTCAGCGACTGGGGGGAAGAAGAGAGAAAGAAAGAGACTGGACCCCAGTCTAGTGGATAAGTGAATGAGTGTTATTGGGAATTACAACGGGTCTTTTACACACAAAGTCAGATGTGGGAGGGGCGTCCCCCACTCACCAGAAACCTTAATCCATAATCCATGAAAACTTAATCAACGATTGCCTTTAAACCCTTTTCATATGATAATCTTAAAATCTCATAAGAAAGGATAACCTAATCAGCGACTGACATATTCTATAAACCTTTTTCATCCTAAACTGATTGATTTATGCCAAGTGAAACAATTGTATAGAAGCTTAAGTATTTATTTTACAAACGAAAGTGGCCCATCCCAGAATGTTTGGAATGTGGCCAGTCCAAAGTTCACAGTGGGCTACCTGCAAGTAACCCAGCCGCATTCTTTCAACAAAATGGCTGTCTTCTAAAACTATATTCTACAATTTACACCTTCAATAAATCCTAAGATCATGACCCAGAAGCCTGCGACCAATACTAAGGCTCTTAGATGTGACACGAGTTTGAATTATAAGTTGTGTGAAAGCCAAAACTGCAGTTTGTGCAAGAATGGGAGCAATGAGCTTCTAGAGTTAGCTTGTGTTTGTCCCGGTCTCCGAGTTTTTATGTTTTGAGCTCACAGGAGCTTAATCTGGTTAGGGCTGAGTAGAAAGGGGCAGGAAATGGGGTCAACAGCTCCCGAACGCATCCTAGTGGTCTCGGGGTGAACGGCCCTTCCTGATCCCTAACGCTCAGTGGGCCTCCGTGGCCGGCTCCCAACAGAACACTTTAAATACAGTCTACAGACCTAACAAACTTTAAACAAAGTCACATGTCTCCATTCTCACTTTCATGATCTAAACGCAACTCTAGAAGTATCCTGAGGAAGCCTTGTGGTTATCAGACCACATCCAGGGTGGATGACACCTGTTCTTAATAAAGCCCACCGAAAACAGTCTCTTATAGAAGTTATGAGCACATTTAACAAGCTTAAAAACTCTTTCATGTCGGAAACCACCCTAAGCGCTCACCGAACCGCCGCGTACACCAGTAACCTAAGCAACCGCCCGGCGCGCGTGCGCACAGACCTCTTTCCCGCCTCGCCCCTCGCCCTACGAGGGCCCGGCGGGGCAAAACAGTGACGCCGCGCCGCCCCACGCCTCACCGCGAAGTATGCCAGCCCCAGGACCGTAACTAGCGCGGGCAAGGGTCTGCTTCTGCGGAAGTAGGTGGTGGCTGCGCCGCCGGCCTCCGACTTCGCCACCACCATGTTGAAAGACCTTGACACTGAGTCCGTCGGGGAGCCGTCCTCGCCCTCCTATGTGAAAAGCCTGGCTAGCCGGTTTTTCAGGGCCTCGAGCACCGGCCAGAGGCCCTAGCAGACGAGTGCGCCTGCGTCTCCTTCCCGAGTCTCGTCCCCTCCTCTCGGCTCGGGACTCGCGGGAGCCGGGATTGCGCTTGCGCAAAATGGATCCAGCGAACAATAGTGCTCCCGCTCCCCTCGCCAGACCGTTGCCGACCGGCGGCTGCCCTTACTGTGTAGTAGCCAAAGGAGAGGATGATAATTGTGAGCCAGGGCAGACTGCCCCTCTGGAAGTAGGCCGCGTCGCCTCCTGCCGCCGCCATGGCCGCACAGTCTCTCTGGGGATGCGGGCCGTGCTGGGCGGGGCGGGGCGGGGCTTCCGCAGCTCCTCCCGCCCACACCCCGCCTTCTCGGGATGGACTCCAGGAGAGCCATCCTGGCGCCTGAACTCCGGCCTAGTGGGCAGGCTGGTTATCATCTTGTAGGGGACACCCTTCTCTGAGTGTCACTTTTCTGGATTTAAGATCAAGGTGTTGAGATAAATGATGTTTTACCAGGAGTCTGATTTTTGCACTTCTGCTGTATGCTGTGAACCTTGAGAATGCCCTTTCTCTTCATAAGATGAATGGAACCCCAAGTGCTTATGAGCAGGGACTGTGAAACAGGCCGCCTGGATTTAAGTCCTGGCTCTGCCTCTGCTACACGTGTAAGTTTAGACTATTTAGCCTGTCTGTGTCTTAGTTTCCCTGCCTGTCAAATGGGGATATATCACTTTCTGGAACCTCAGGGCTTTGGGGTTAGATTAAAGAAAGCACACCAATGTATGGCCCATAGTGCTCTACATGTGTTGGTCGTTATTAATATTGCTTAGTCTTTAGTGTATGTGCCAGGCCGTTGACAGTCATGCCAAACGGTAACTGCATGTTCCAATTCCAGAGAGGGTACTCTCTACAATCTCATGGAATATCCCCAGAACGACTTCAGTTGACATGGAAACCAACTAAGGTTCTGTTTTCTAATTTTTCATGAGTGTCTTGGGCTACAGTGTTTTATTTTTTTGAGTTGGAGTCTCACTCTGTAGCCAAGGCTGGAGTGCAGTGGCACACTCACAGCCACTGCAGCCTCGACTTGCTGGGCTCAGGCAATCCTTCCACCTCAACCTTCCAAGTAGCTGAAACTACAGGCATGCGCTACCACGCCCGGCAAATTTTTTGATTTATTGTAGAGATGAAGTCTCGCCAAGTTGCCCAGGCTGGTCTCAAACCCCTGGACTCAGGCAGTCCTCTCACCTCAGCCTCCCAAAGTGCTGGGATTATAGGCATGTGGCCATAGTATTTTAAAGAAAGAATTTCAGAATGTGGTGCCATCCATTCCCCAGATAAACGACGATGCCTATGAATTTGAAGTTTCAGTGACAAATGGTGTTTTCTTAGTCCTTGTGGTCCCCAATCACACCATCCTCTTGGTTCTTCCTCTCTGAATAACTTCTTGTTTTCTCAGATTTCCTTATATTTCTTCTCCCCTAGATATGTTTTTCATATTATTTTCTTTCTTTGTGTTTTCAGTACCTTTGAAATTTAGTTTTCATCCTCATCTGGATGACTCTAAAACAATTTTCCCTACCTTGGCCTTTCCCCAGTTGCCTGCTGGTCACCTTTACCAATATTACACTTCAAAGACAAGAAGTCCACTGTCATTATCCACAAAGTCAATCTTCACCAATGCTTCCCTTTTGGCTTCCCCTATACCATGTAAAGATTGTAGACTCTAGTCAGCTGTCAAGAGTTCTATTGATTGGGGGGTGAGCTCGCTCGTGGGTGGATGGGTTGTAGGGCATGAAAGAAAAGTTATATTGACTGGGTTTAACCCTTGGTTTAATATTTACTGCCTTACTGAGTCATTCCTGTCACTTCATCAATGAAATGCGTTCCCTTCATTGAATCTGTCCTACGAGTGACAGGATTATCATTTTCTTTTTTTTTTTTTTTTTTGAGTTGAGTTTCACTCTCGCCCAGTCTCGAGTGCAGTGGTACACTCCCGGCCACCGCAGCCTCGACCTACTGGGCTCCAGCGATCCTTCCACCTCAACCTTCCAAGTAGGCGGAACTACAGGTGCGTGCTACCATGCCCGGCTAATTTTTGATTTGTTGTAGAGATGAGGTCTCACCAAGTTGCCCAGGTGGGTCTTGAACCTGCGGGCTCCGGCAATCCACTTGCCTCGGACTCCCAAAGCGCTGGGATTATAGGCTGAGCCACTGAGCCCGGCTAGGATTATCATTTTCAAGTACAGTTCTGATCAAGTGTTTACCCTACGAACACGTTTCAAGAACTTCTCTAATTTTAGGCTATTGTTTTTCAGTATTTCTCTTTTTTTTTTTTGAGTTGGAGTCTCACTTTGTCGCCCAGACTGGAGTGCAGTGGC